TCATTTTCTTCAACAAAATCAATCAGTCTTTTGTACATTAATTTCTCCAATACCTTAGAAAAACATGTGAGAACAGATATTGGTCTGTAATTTTCAAATTTGTTATTTTCATTAGCTTTGAAAATAGGGGATACTAAAGCTATTTTCATTTGGTCAGGTACAATCCCCATAATAAATGTCTGGTTGTAAATATGAGTTAATGGTTTGGATATATACTTGTAAATATTTTTTAATATTTTGGCACTGTAGCCATCGAATCCTGGACTTTTGTTTCGATTTAGATTTTTTATCTCGTTTTCAACTTCATGCTCTTCTATAGGTCTTAAAAATATGGAATTTAGGTTTTTGTTTGTAAGATATTGTTCATAAGTGGAATTTGATCTGGTTTTTATTTGTTTTGCAAGCTTGGGTCCTAGATTCACAAAATAATCATTGAATTTATTAGCAATTTCAATAGGGTTAGAAGTGGTACTTGAAGAATTGCTCAATAAAAATTCCTTTGGTAATTCCTTCTTGCGAGTAGGTTTATTAAGTAATTCATTAATTGTTTTCCAGATCATTTTTGTATTTTGTTTATGTTTAATAAATTGTTCCTCGTAATACGTCTTTTTGGATATTTTTATAACATGATTTAGTTTATTTTTATATTTTTTATAAACGTTTTCATTTTTTTGACTTGGATGTAGTAAATACTTTTTATAAAGTTGATTTTTTTTCCTGACAGATTTTAGTATGCATTTAGTCATCCATGGACTTTTAACTTTGTTAACAGCTTTTTTATTTGATACTTTTTTGAGTGGAAAATTTGATTCATAATTTTCTGAAAATATTTCAGAAAAATTTTTAAAACATTGTATGGGATCACTTTCAATTGTTACACTATCCCATGTTAATTCCTTTAATGATTCTGTGAATAGGCTTATGTTATTGTTGTTGATCATTCTTTTGTAATAGCTACCACTGATGTTATCATTGTTTGTATTATAAGTTGTATTTGTAGTGCACATATGAACTACAGGTAAGTGATCTGAAATATCACTAAAGATTATTCCATTTATGCTTGTATCAACTTGTTGAATATTGTTTGTAAAAATGTTATCAATAAGTGTGGATGTGTGCGCAGTAACCCGTGTTGGTTTTGTGATAATGCACCTATCAATGTTAATCCCGAGGGAGGTGGGGTCGGGCAAGGGGTGGGGATTTGACATTTTTACGAAAAAAAATGTCAAATGCCACTCCCTCGGGAGAAAATTCCTGGGCAAAATTCCCCACCCCCGGGATGAAATTGTACGTATTCCTGAAGTACTTGGTTTCAAGGGAAATTACACAAATACATTTGGCAGTAAAACAAATAAAGAACGTTTCAAAATAACTTAAAATACTCAATAATTCATATACCTTAATTGCGGCAAATCATGTTAGCCATATTATGTCATGTGATATCTGATAAACACTAGCCTGTGTTCCAGTCTGCTACACCACGATGTAGTGCCTGGAACACAAGCTAATAAAACACAGTATTCTTATAAAATTGTCAGTATTCTTATAATAATTGTTTCAGTACTCTAGTATTAGTATTCTTTTGTGGTATTCTAGTATTCTAATTAGTATTCTTTTGTAGTCGTGTTTTAAGTCGTGTTTTAAATTACTCATAATGTGAACTTTTAACATATAAGTATAAATCGGTACTAATATAACTATAAAATGGCTTATAAGTGTTTATTTTTTGTCCAGAAATCTCCATATTTCTTGTAAAAACAATGCGCGAGACAGCGAGCGATGACTAGTGCCCAGTCTTCAGTTTGTTCCTGACTCTTCCACAGTCCTCGTTACATTTTAGTGCGAGAGAATATGCCTGTTCGCGGGTTAGGCGTTGACAGCTACAACACAGCTGACTAGGGATGAGTCAGAGTTTGTTCTAAAATTGGCTCAGGTTTCTTCAGTGTATCGTCTGAGATCAGTGTTAATCTGTCAAAAATCCCCACCCTCGGGCCACTTAGAAAAAAGTGTCAGTCAAAATCCCCACCCATGGGACCACCTGGTTGATCAAATCCCCACCCTTTGCCCGACCCCCCCCCCTCGGGGTTAACATTGATAGGTGCATAAGTGGATAAAAAGAAGAGGTAAATAGTTGCTCTATAAATCTGTTTGAGTAATCACAGGATTCGGATTTAAGTAAATCGATATTAAAGTCACCAATAAGATAACAAATTTTATTTTCCTTGTCAATAGTGTTCAAAATGCCATTCATTGCTATTTCAAAGGTATCAAATTTATTATTAGGTGGTCGATAAATAACACCAACAATTATATTTTTACCAGTTGATGCAATTATTTCAATAAAAATTGATTCAATTACATCATCAACATTTGTACTTAAGTCATTTCTCAACTTATAATTAATTTCTTCAGTCACATATATGCCAACCCCTCCTCCTTTTTTATTTGATCTGTTTACGCCAATATATTTATAACCTTCTAATCCAAAATTATTTGCGTTATCATCATTTAACCAAGTTTCAGTTATTCCTATTACTTTAAATTTCTTATTTAATGTACTTGTTAATTGCTTAAACATATCAAATTTATTCGATATACTCCGTATATTTAAATGGAAAATAGAAAAAAGGTTTTCCGAATTTTCATTTATTGATTGTTCTTGGAATTTGGCCGGTGTATAGTAATTGCAGTTAACAGTATCTAAATTATTTAGCATATCCAAATTTACATTGTTTTCACTTAATGCTACATTTTTATTGAGTGTAAATGGATTTATTTTTAACTGATTTAGTCTATCCATATCTGATTTGGAGAAGACATCCCCCGTTTTTGTTTCATTATGCGTAAGGTTTGGAAACAATAATAGATGGCATTTTTGACATTTAAATACTGAGTCTGAGTTATTAATTGTTTCCTGTGAATCTAAACAGTGCGGCACACTATGAAACAAATCGTGACACGTAACGCACTGAGTAAATTTTTCGTGTTTCATAATTGTTTTAAGACAAAGAGAACATTGAGTACTAGACATAGCAGGCATTTATATATTTGTTATATTGTTTAGTAAGACAGTGATATTGAATTGAGTATTCTGATAAGGTAAAACGTGTGTGGAATCGATAAGTTATGCTTGTGCGAGTTCTGATCAAATTACACTAGTCTGTTGGTTTATACAACACCCCGTCAATAAAGAGTTTATCCCTTACCATATTTACTTTCTTCCCCGCAGCCTTTGCTTTTTTAAGTTCCGGATATAAAGTCCTTCTTGTTTGTTCGATCTCTGAGGGAAACTGTTCAGATATGCCAAAGTTTGTGCCTTTAAGCTTTTTAGTATTAAGTCTAACGATTTCCCGGTCCTGATGATAGTTAAATTTTACTATTATTGGTCGAGGTTTACTCGGCTCATTTCTTCTCTTTCCTAAACGATGTGATCTGTCTATTTTGACCGTTTCTTTCGCATTTACCATACCGATTTTCTCTTCAAGAAGATCATGAATTATCTTTGTTGTATTTTCGTGCTCTCTCTCTTGGATATTATAAAATATCAGATTATCTCGCATTAATCTCGCTTGGAGATCAATGACGGCATTGTGTAGCTTTATATTTTCGGCTTCTAATTTGTCGATGCGATCGGACGTTTCTTTCTGGACCTTGACCTTCCTTTCACTTTCTGTTTTCAGATCATTTATTTCTTCGTGTGCGTAATCTACCGAGTGCTTCACTTCGTTTAGTTCTTTTTTCATCTCGCAGATTTGTGCCTCAATCGTGTCGAGTTTATTTAGCTTTTGGTTCATCGTGACAATCAAACTGTGAATATCTTCAAGATTTATTGCTTTATGTTCTTCTTTTTCACCCCTTGCCATCGGCGAGTCACTCATCTTTGGTATTTTAAATCCTTTGTTTTTTACGGGCGTTTTATTTAAAGATTCATTCAAACTTTTTATAGAGCGTTTGGAAGCGTGTGTTGGTAACGCCATGACACCTGACACCTTGAGGCGTTTAAACATGAATAAAAAATGTCAATTTTTCTACAGTATTGTTCAATGCGGCCGTTTAATAGACCTTATTTACAAGGATATCAAACGCACAAACACTTAATAACGCGATATCCCACAACACAGCAAAAAATCATTTTCTTATTAAGAAAAAAATTCTTAATTTAAGAAATTATTTCTTAAAACGAGAAACGGATTTTCTTAATAAGAAATAGATTCTTAAAATAAGAAATATTTCATTGCCAAGATATTTTTTCTTGAAATAAGAAAAAAAAAATTAACATATCTTGGATTATATTTGTTTTCTTAAACCAAGAATGCATTTTCCTACGCTATTTTCATCTTCAGATCAATCATTTTCTTAAGAAAATATGATTTTCTTGTTCTAAGAAATACTTTCTTAAAACAAGAAATCAAATTCTTATCATAAGAATTATATTTGTTTTCTTAAAACAAGAATATGTTTTCTTACGATTTTTTCATCTTCTTATCAATTATTTTCTTAAGAAAATATGATTTTCTTGTTTTAAGAAATAGTTTCTTAAAACAAGAAATCAAATTCTTAACATAAGAAATTATTTCTTAAATTTTCTTGAACGGAAAGAAAATTTAAAATTTGTTAAAATTTAACTACAGGAACTATAGAATGGCATTCAATTCTGGTGTTTAAAGACATATATAACATATTTTGTATATAGATTCATTTTAATTGTATAACACTTATTTCTAGAATAATCTGCATATGTATTACAGGGACCCAACCTCGTTCCACAGGGACCGCGGAGCCTGGATAGCACGGGCAATAGCTCACGCATGCAGGCTAGATTTTATACGGCCATGGCCCACGCCTCCCCCTGTTCCGCGGTCCCTGCATTTTTGCATGCTCAGGAGAGAATTCGCAACTCGGAATTAATTGCGGCTGTGCACAAGATTAATTAAACATAAGAATTCTCCTCTATCGTAGTATCTTTGTTAATTAATTTGTTAAGTTAAATCTGGGATGGATTTACTGGGGGGAGGGGAGGTGTGGGGGTGTAAAGAAAAATCAAGAAAGGGGTCCCAATTTCCCCATCTCGGGGGCCCCGGAATGCTGGAATTGTGGAACTTGTTAAATATTACGGAATATTCTGAAACATTGAGGTCGAAAAAGGTCTGAAAAAGAAAGTTGTTTTTGAGGTGCCCCCCAACCGCTCTCCTAGATCATGCTGGATCCATCCCTGAGGTAAATTTGCGAAAAATATTGTGTTTTATTTTTATTAAAATGCTACATTTGCCCCCCTCCTGCAGGAAAGAAGATATCTTTCACCTACATTCCGTCGCCCCCTGATACCATACTATACATTCTAATTTACATTCTAAAGTTTGAATTTTTCTCGTGTTTTATTTAATAATTGCAGAGAATTTTCTTGACTTTTCGATAATTTATTATAGATAAAATTAACAGTCAATAACTGATTGAAAATGCAGACATGCAAGCAGCAATAGTTCGCGCATTGCCTGGGGGCCTGGTGCCTAGTTTACGTATCAGAGCGCGAAGGTTCATGGGATAGCGTCGTTTCAAATTTTTTTGTGCTATAAAGTGCTAACTGAATTCCAGTTCATATTTACAGTATATTTATCAAATTTTTGCTATCCCAAACGACGGAAAAGGCATCGGAAAGGTCTTAAAATGTTATTCAGATCTCACAGGTAAGAATATTTTATTTTGACTTGTTATTTAAGCACTTTAATTGCGAAAGAATGTGTGATTGTTCTTGAGTCATTTGCCTAAAATTCCGTTGAATGTTTGAATTTGCCGCGTCAATTTGCATAAAAAACCTACGAAATGTTGGTTTCTGGCAATGAAAGAAAGAATAAAATATCAATTCGAATCCATTATAGCAAATTCTGTACTAAATTACGCACTAATGTTCAAAAAACAAGCTAAAATTTATTATCAAACACAAGAATAATAATAATACAGCATTATATTATATTATTCATGGACGTCTAAAACAATGTAGGGTAAAAACAATGCTTCCATCATCATGCACTCCTAACTTCATATTTGTTGTATATCTATATTATGCACCTATCAATGTTAACCCCGAGGGGGGGGGGTCGGGCAAAGGGTGGGGATTTGATCAACCAGGTGGTCCCATGGGTGGGGATTTTGACTGACACTTTTTTCTAAGTGGCCCGAGGGTGGGGATTTTTGACAGATTAACACTGATCTCAGACGATACACTGAAGAAACCTGAGCCAATTTTAGAACAAACTCTGACTCATCCCTAGTCAGCTGTGTTGTAGCTGTCAACGCCTAACCCGCGAACAGGCATATTCTCTCGCACTAAAATGTAACGAGGACTGTGGAAGAGTCAGGAACAAACTGAAGACTGGGCACTAGTCATCGCTCGCTGTCTCGCGCATTGTTTTTACAAGAAATATGGAGATTTCTGGACAAAAAATAAACACTTATAAGCCATTTTATAGTTATATTAGTACCGATTTATACTTATATGTTAAAAGTTCACATTATGAGTAATTTAAAACACGACTTAAAACACGACTACAAAAGAATACTAATTAGAATACTAGAATACCACAAAAGAATACTAATACTAGAGTACTGAAACAATTATTATAAGAATACTGACAATTTTATAAGAATACTGTGTTTTATTAGCTTGTGTTCCAGGCACTACATCGTGGTGTAGCAGACTGGAACACAGGCTAGTGTTTATCAGATATCACATGACATAATATGGCTAACATGATTTGCCGCAATTAAGGTATATGAATTATTGAGTATTTTAAGTTATTTTGAAACGTTCTTTATTTGTTTTACTGCCAAATGTATTTGTGTAATTTCCCTTGAAACCAAGTACTTCAGGAATACGTACAATTTCATCCCGGGGGTGGGGAATTTTGCCCAGGAATTTTCTCCCGAGGGAGTGGCATTTGACATTTTTTTTCGTAAAAATGTCAAATCCCCACCCCTTGCCCGACCCCCCCTCCCTCGGGATTAACATTGATAGGTGCATTATTGTAAAACTATATCACAACTTTCTTTAAAATTTTATGTACTATATATTAACTGACAAATAGCTATCGTTTGAATTTAATATTTGCTGTAATAGGGGCCTTGCACTAAAAGCTTCTTAAAGTTTCTTAAAGGCTCCTAGCTCTAGTATTCAACAACGTTATACTGTATATTCTATCTTAATTATGTAAATAGGGCGAATTTTTTTTTAAATAAATAATAATGCACTATTGTTAACAATTTAATAGCAATAATTGCCTTTGGCTGTTTGACATATAAATTATATGGCACTCAACTTGACCCTTGGCCTTGTATATATTACTGTAAACATTCGAATGCCTTCAAAGATATGTTAGCATTTTAATACATGAATAAGGATTAGAATTACAGAAGAATTTATAAAGCATTGAATGTAATTTGAATGTAATATTTTCAGTGTTTTGATCTTAATAACCCATAATAAGGCTTACAAATGTGCCCAAATACATCCCTGCTGTTGCTTTACTTTGCCTAGTGCCAGACAATTTCACTCTTCAAGGGGTCGGAGAGTCCTGCCAGCCCTTAATGAACTTCAGTTTATAATGTGTAACATGTTTGTGACACAATGCCTGAAATGTTTGCTTTATGTATTTTCAGATTAATAATGGTGCTGGGCTATAGCCTGGCTCCAAATATTGTTCTCAACAATCAAGGAATTCTGGATTGAGTTGACAAACTGGTGTTGTAAGGTAAGAACTAACAAGAATAAATAGTCTGCTTTTAGTGCTTTATATGAAGAAAATGACAAACTGGCCCAGCTAAGGTAGTCACCCAGGACCTATTCAATATGAGCCATGCTGGCCCGTTAAACCGAGTTAGCTTACTTGGCCGGGCCAAGTTGTTATTTGTTTCACATGAGGCGGGCTAGCCTGGCAACTGCTATAAGAAATTCCCAAACAATTTTATCCCCGAGCCGGCGGCGCGAAGCGCCGTGCGAGGGTACTAATTCCCCCCGGCTATTTACACCCGGGGAAACGAAAGCATTAGCGGAATCTAAAGTTCATCAAATATCGCGGGCGTGGGTGACCAACGGTGTTGAGTGGGTGGTCATCCTCACTGATCTCAAAAATATGGCGGACTGTCATGGATAGCGAACACTGATTGGTCAAATTTAAAATTTGTTGTTGTATGACAAATGACGACTTCAACTGACAGATACTCCATGAAAATAATTTGCTTTTTACACTACAGTATTTTGTACGTTTGCAAAAAACTTTGACAGCTTTCAAAGCAATTTGTTCTATAAAAAGTTTAATAAAACAATTACGGTATCAAATACCAATTGAAAAGATATGGAGCCAAATGAAGAGCGGCAAGGAAACGACAAGAAAGCCGAACGTCTAGCGAAAAGGAGGGAGCGAAGACGACAACGTTTGCTCGAGGAGACTGCTGAGGAAAGAGAAGCTCGCCTGGGAAAGCGTAGAGAAGCATGGAAAAGACTGCTGAGTGAAGCGAAAGGTAAGAAAAGGCTTGTCTTCACAACGCTATGTAGTAATCTACTAATGTTACTGTAGCTATACGAGTTGAAGTATGATATTCGACCCTCTATATTCGACTGTTTCTTCACAATTTTCCAATAAAGAGTTTGTCAAGACACGCTCAAGTCAGTATAACCAGACTGTATTTTATTTATATCAGTTATCACAGCCACAGGCAATTTTATGCTGTCAAATACCGTCGGTTGCAACTAAAGGTGAACAGTTGCAGATAAAACATTCTCTATTCTCATTAAAAAGCCTGTAAGGGTTTCCAGTAGGTCTCTAGCCCAACACGTTCAGACCACACAAAGTTTTTTTTACTTATTATTGTACACATGGGAAACAACAATTAAGTGTTGTTGTTCTTGACAAACATTGGAGATTCTAATCACGCAAATGTTTTTATGAGCAACTGTTCATCGTTAGTTGCAAGCGACGGTACAACATACTATGAACATTTTTCCGACTGTGACCGAATGTGCAACGATGTAATTTTCAAAGTTGTTATCAATTCCTAAAATTTGTTTATAGTAAAACAGCCTGCTCAGCACTCACTACTCACGTTGATCTGATTTCATTTAGAAATGCAGTTACCGGGAAAGGAACTGATTCTAAAATATGTAAATTTAAAAGCATTGGCTAACAGAATAAAGCGATCGGTGAAGACAAGGTACAAACTTTTATAGTTGCTATTTGTTATAAAATCCTATAAATAAACCGATTCAACAATAATTTTGCCTCGAATTTGCATATTCTATGCTGCATATTTATATTTTATTTTTATAGTATAAAAATAAAATTGTAATATTATGAAATAAAATACATTTCTGTTTATTGACCAGTACTTATTTAATGTCTTCTTCATCCAGTGGTCAGAGTAAATTTCTACTTCTAGCAAGTAATTATTTGACAAGCAGTCTGGAATAAGCACAGGACTTTTAATGCATCAGCCAAATCCAAGTGTGCCCATCCCCCTCGCCCAGCCATTTTCCTGTAAAGCACATCCCGGGGGTTGGGCATTTCCACTCGAACCTTAGCCCCGGTGGGGCATTTGAAATTAATAATTTGGATTCTTGCACTTCACTTGTCGAATTAATATTAGAATGTTAGGGTTTGTAATCCAAGTGAGAATATATGCATGTATATATTTTGTAATCCAAGTGAGAATATTTTGTAATCCAAGTGAGAATATACAAATGTATAGTACATGTATATATTTTGTGTATATATTTTGTAATCCAAGTGAGAATAGTTTGTAATCCAAGTGAGAATATACAAATGTATATATTCTCACTTGGATTACAAACCCTAACATTTCAATTTTAATTCCACCAAGTAAAGTGCAAGAATCCAAATTATTGAAGTCCACCTTATCACAACCCACACACCCGATTACCTAAATATACACGAACTTACGGTTACAGCTCAACAGCTG